TGTTGTTTATGTATAGGAATGCTATTGATTTTTGACTGTTGACTTTGTATCCAGCTACATTACTGAATTTACTTATTATACCTAGGAGTCTTTCAAAGGAGTTTTGGGGGTCTTCTATGTAGAGTATCATCCCACCTGTAAATAATGATAATTTTAATTTCTTTTCCTATTCTTACTCCTTTTATTTCACTCTTGTCTAATTGCTCTGGCTAGTATTTCCAACACTATATTCAGTAGGATTGGTGATAATGGACATCCTTGTCTTGTCCCTGATTTTATGGTAAAAGTTTTCAGTTTTTGGATATTTAATATGTTGATGGCTGTTGGTTTGTCATAAATGGATTTTATCATATTGAGGTAAAGACCATCTATTCTGATTTTCTGTGGGGTTCTTATCATGAATGTTGAGTGTTGGACCTCATCAAAAGCACTTTATGCATCTATAGAAATAATCCTGTGATTCTTATTTTTGGCTCTATTGGTATGGTGGATTCCATGTACTGATTTTGGTATGTTGAACCATCCCTGCATTCATCGGATGAATCCATCTCTGCATTCATGGGATGAATCCCACTTGGTCACGGTAAACAATCTGCTTGATTTGCTGCAGTATGTTTGCCAGTATTTTATTGAGAATTTTTGCACCTACATTCATTAGTGGATTGGCTTGTAGTTCTCTTTTTCGGTTGGGTCTTTTCTGGTTTTGGTATTAGAGTAATACCTGCTTCGAGGAATGAGTTAGGTAGAATTGCTTCCCTTTCAATTTCCTTGAAGAGTTTGAGGAGTGTTGGCATTAAATCTTCTTTGAATTTCTTGTAGAATTCCACAGTGAATCCATCAGGACCTGGGCTTTTCTTTGTTGGTAAGGTTTTAATTACATTTTCAATTTCATTAATTGAAATTGAATTATTCAGCAGTTTTACATCTGCTTGACCCAGCTTTGGCAATTCATATCTTTCTAGGAATCTGTCCATTTCTTTTGTGTTATCAAACCTGTGAGAGTAGAGGTTTGTGAAGTAGGTATTGATGATCGTTCTGTAGTTTCATAAGGTCTGTCATGATTTCACCCTTTCCATTTCTTATTGCATGAATTTGAGGGTTTTTTTCCTTTTTAAAATAAGGTTGACTAAGGGCTTATCAATTTTATTTATTCTTTCAAAGAACCAACTCTTTGATTCATCGATTCTTTGTATTGTTTGGTTAGTCTTTATTGTATTGATTTTTGCTCTGATCTTTATAGTTTCTTCCCTTCTTTTGGCTTTCATCTTGACTTGCTCTTCTTTTGTTAGATGTTTAAGGTGTAGCATCAAGTTATTTATTTGTGTTCATTCTGTTTTCCTGATATGGGAATTGGTTGCAATAAAATTTCCTCTGAGAACTGCTTTCATGGAATCCCACATGTTCTGGTAAGTTGTATTTGTATATTTATTTGCTTGTAGATACTGTTTAATTTCTTCTTTAATTTCCTCTGTGACCCACTGATTGTGCAGGGGTGGCCATGTGTTTGTGGGAGGGTTGCAGTCATTAATTTGTCATTAATTTCTAGTTTTATGGCACTATGATCTTTTAGAGAATGTCCCATGTGCTGCTGAGAATGTATCTTCAGATATTTTTGGGTGGAATACTCTGTACATGTTCACTAAGTCCATTTGTTCACAGGTGTGATTCAATTCTGTTATTTCTTTGCTGATTTTCTGTCTAGTTGACCTGTCTCTTTGTGTCAATTCGGGTGTTAAGGTCTCCTATTATAATTGTGTTATTGCTTATTTGATTTTTCATTTCTATTAATATTTGTTTTGTATAGCTGGGTTTTCCTAAATTTGGTGAATATATATATTTAAGATTGTTGTCTCTTCCACCGTAAGTTTTCCCCCAGCTAGTATATAGTGACCTTCTTTATCTCTTTTGCTCATTCTTGGTTTGAAGTTCACATTGTCTGCAAACTGAATGGCTACCCTTGCTTTTTTGGGGGGGCATGTTTCTTATTGCATGGAGTATTGTTTTCCATCCTTCAAGCTTAATCTAAGAGTTTCCTTTTGAGTCAGATGGGGTTTTGTATACAACATATGGTTGGATGTTGTTTCTTGATACATTCTGCCAGTCTGTTTCTTTTAACTGGTAAATGAAGTCATTTATATGAATGGTTATTATAACTGATATATATTGGCTTATTTTTGACATATTATCTTTCTGCCGTGGATTCTTTGCCTTTCGCTTCTGTTTGTTTGACTTGTTTAGTGGTGTTTTCCTTTGTCTGTCTAGAATGTCTTTCAGTATTCTTTGCAGGACTGGTTTGGTGGATATGAAGTTCGTAAACTGTTCTTTGTCATGCAATTATCTTATTTTTCCATCCATTTTGAAGGACAGTTTTTCAGGGTACAACAGTCTGGGTCGGAAATCATTTTCCATTAACATCAGAAATACTCCATCATGCCATGCTCTTCTTGACTTCATTGCTTGTACTGAGAAGTCTGCTGTGATTCGGACAGGCTTTCTTTTATAGCCATCCTGTCTTTGCTTTCTAACAGCTTTTAGTATTCTGTTCTTGTGTTGAATTTCTGGAATGTTGATTATTATATGTCTGGGTGTAGTTTTATTTTGCTTATGGCTATTCAGAGTTGCATATGCTTCACTTATCCGTATCTCAGTTTCCATTCTCATGTTTGGGAAATTTCCAGCTATTACTTCTGTAAATAGCCTCTTGATATCATTTGTGTTGCCATCTTTTTCTTGTATACCTATCAGTCTTATGTTATTTTTCGTTGCATCATCTTGCAGCTGTTGAATTTTTGTTTACTGATTCCTTGTTATTTTTTTAAAAGATCTTTCCTTTCCTATTCACTAGCTGCAATCTTGTCTTCGAAGTCAGAAATTCTATCTTCACTTTCGTTGAGGCAGTTCTGCCAACTTTTGATGGAATTTTTAACTTTCTGTATATCTGTTTGAACCTGCTTCATGCATTCTGTTTGTTTCTTATTTTGTTCATTCAAGGTTTAGATCTTTCTGCATTGTTCCTGTGATTTTTTAACTATGTCTTCTTTAGATTTGTTCAGCATTTTTTCATGATAGTCATCATTTTTTCTTTTACCTGGGAGATTATTTCTGTCTGAGTTCTTTTATACCTTCCCGGAGTTGTTTCTTTACTTCAGTCACTATCATCTCTGGAGTTTCAGGTATATGGCTTACATTTTCTTGTATGTCCATGTCTCCTGGTTTTACTTGGGATGGGCTAGAAGTTTGAGATTGCAATTTGCTCTTTCATTTTGTATTTTCCTATATTCCCTTAGGGAAGCTTAAAGCAAGGTCTCAGTTGTTTCTTGGGTTGAGAATATCTATCCCTACTTCAGGGAGTTTCACCAGGTGAGTAGAGGTTGTTAGAAGCCTTACCAGGTGGCTTCTAGTGACTTGGGATCACAGGTCAGGGTCCAAATAGGCCTGGAGGGAACTTCCTGTAACCTACCAGTGATGAGGGACAGTGCGTGGGGCCCTACCAGTTTCCGAGTACTAGGGCTCCCCTGGGGATGGATATTGCTGCATGAACTTTGGGTTCATGAGGTGGAGAGCCTGCAGCTCTGGGACACTCTGGGGTTGCAAATAGACTCAGAATAGACCTTCCTGTGTGCCCTCCAGTGATGAGGAACACTGACTGGGTCCCTACCAGTCTCCAAATGATACACCAAGGCTTCCCTGTGGGATGGAAATTGCTGCATGCACTGTCAGCTCCCAAGGTGGAGCACAAGTGGCTCTGGGCCATGCCCATGTCATAGAATGAGGCCCAACCAGGCCAAGAAGGATCCTTGGCGGGTCCTGCAGTGATAGGAGATGCTGGGTGGGGGTTTACCAGTCTCTAAGGATGGGATGGGAATCTTTATCCACACTTTCTGCACCAAAGGAGGAGTACAGGGGGCTCCAGGCCACTCTATCCCATGGAGGCAGATGGATATGGTAAGTGCAGTGTCTGCTCCAAAGTGCTCACATCTGCCATCAAGTGAATTATGTGCTCTTCCAGATTTCCTAGTTCTCAAGGTTAAAACATCTGGCTTTCCCTCCCTGCAGCTCTTCCTCTTTGCCTTCCTTTACTCAGTTGAGCCTCAGTCCTTGGCCACCTGGCATCTGTCCCTCTCTCCTATATTCTAGGCACATAATATAGCATCAGAAGCATCAAGAAAATAGAGAGTAGAGAACAGCTGCTTGAGGGAAATTTATGAGGACATTAGTAGCCAGTGTAATGAAGGATGGGGTACACTGGAAGCAGGCAGCATCAGCTCAGGGTGTAGGAATTTGGACCCAGAGTCAGGGGTGAGCAGAGGTGCGGGAGCAGGGAGCAGAGGCAGTGCTTTCAAGGATCCAGCAAGGAAATAAGTAAACCATAGGGGAGAGTCTAGCAGTGTGTTGGATATGAAGGAAGGCAATGTTGCTTCTGCTTTAGAATTAGCATGCACAAAAGGAGAAGCTGACTCCAAGTCCTCACCTGGACCACTTACATCTTTCTCTGTCCTCTATACTCGCAGTCCCACAGGACCCTCTATTCTGGTGTATGCTCTAGTGCCATGCACCCCTGGATAAGGGTGTTAGAAAAGATGACACTGCATGAGAATATGGGACCTCTACAAACTTGTGTTATCTCCCAGAATGTAAACAAAATAGATAATTTGACCTCACAGTTGTTAGTTTGGCCTGATGATGGACTGCTTTGTCCTCCTATATCAGTTCTCAAAATGTATAAACATGTTCAGGAGTTTAATAAGACTAGTCTATATCCTAATGCAAATTTAAGTCAGCAGTGCGTGCATTGCACACATTCACATGACTAAAAGCAGTTTCCTGTTAAAAGAAGTAAGTGTAAACACAAATAGACACTGATTATCTAATATTATTTCCACTAAACGTCTCAACAACCAATGAATAATTCTACAATGGCTACCAAATGATATCTGTGGATGTTTATCCAAAATTTGAAGTTTATGTTTCAGAAGAAGAAATAAGTCACTGATACTTACTTGACTGCAATCATTTTTCTCTCTTTTTGAGGTTGGTAGAACTTTTCTATTTTTTTGGTATCATTAGCACTTTGGAAGTATTCAGAGTTGATAAAAAAGAGGGGTTGTGGGATTTTGGAATGGACGTCCTCCCCCACCGGAAACATCCATGGATCCAGGGCAATGCCACACCTGCAAATGTGAGTTGGTAAGTTATCCTGGGGCCCTGTACAGGACTTGCCACCCTGCCAGCTTTTTGCGGGATATGGCTGATCAGAGGGTATCAGACTGCAATGTGAGAGGAGTATTATAATCTGAAATTACACGATGGTTTTCTTGAGGACTTGTTTAGAATTACACCCTAGGAAGAAATATTTCCTCAATAGTTTGTATTCTTCATTATTGTTGAATTTTTTTTCAGAATAAGCATTTTTTTTTTTTTTTTTTTTTTTTTTTTGCTACAAGGGATCAAACTCACAATCTCAAGCTTGCTGAGCCCACCAACCCAGACTCCATGTATCAGAGTTTTGGGAGCACCATAGTGAATTGTTTATGCCTGTTTACAAGTAACACTGGGACCCACTGATTCATATGTTAAAGGTGATTCATCTAAAAAACTATCTAGGGTTGAAGAAAAATATCATTTGTAATTATCACTAACTTTCTTTTCACAAGTTGTGCTATTTCCTGACCATTTGAAAGTCTGCCTGATGCATTAAAGGATCAAAGAAAAGAATTGCCTTACATGAAAACATATTTCTAAGACAATCAAGGAGAAGTTTCATAAATCACCTTGTTAACTCTCTATTTGATGGGTTCTATGTGATCTTATAAACCTGAGATTAAGTAGGTCAAGAATGAAACATTCCTGCCAGTTTAAAGGACTTCAGCTCAAAAAGGTTTTGTAATTTTTGAACCAGTCCCATTTTACAGGTGCAGTATGGAGTGTAGTAATAATAAATGTCATGCCCACTGGAGAAATTTCAGGACACTATATGATGGAAATACAGTTAGCGTAATCATTATGCCACAGAAAGGGAGTGTACAAATTTCTAAATGAAAATGTTAAGTCTTGAAGGAGATAAATAAAAATGATGTGGAAAAACACACAGGGGCCCAGGGAGGTTTTAAGAGGAGAAGTGAATAATTTCTTCCTAAGGCAAAGAATCAACATATGTATTCTGAAGAATTCCCTTTTCACTAAGAATCTGAAAAAAACTGAAATCCCACACCCGTTACCCTTCTCCTGCTTCCAATAATTTACTGTTCTCTTGCGTCCCTGTCTGCTTCTTTTACCTGAATCTCTGGTCTTCACTGAGGGTCTGGATAACTGTTGCTCCACCAAATGAATGTCCAATGATCGCTACTTTACTCCTATCAAGAGAGCCCTGTGTGAAAAAGCATAATAAAAATTGGTAACTCTCTCTCATGTGTTAGAAATGTAAAGACCTTCTGAAGCGTACAATTACTATGCATTTCACAAGCATGGATAAGTACCTTGCTTTCATATAAAATAGTGTACATACACACATATACGCTTTTATATATCACACATATTCACACACTATCTTTATACATACGTGCACACACATACACTATATATATATTTTTTGGTCTTTTTTTTTTTTTTTCAGTTTTCTGAAATGCCAGCACCAGGACTGTTTCACCTTTCCTACTTTGACTATGACTCTTTTGGGCCTTGATTGTTCCTGTAGCACTTCAGGGGAGGGAGTGATACTGAAGCACTTTGCAGGACAATAGAGAGCAGCTGGAGCCAGGAGAGGGGCAGCTGAGCAGGCCAGGATGGGCACTGGCCCAGGCCAGATTCTCCTGGGAAGGCAGAGCCTGTCTCAGGGCTTGAAGGTTGGTTAGGAGTTAGTCAGGGGAGGGTGCATCGGGTCTAGGGTCCAGAGTACCAGGCATGGAAAAGGGAGAGAACCAGCTGGGGACAGCTCACTCTTGTCCTCTGAGAACAGCTCCCATCACTCCTGACACCCAAGTGACACCTCCATCCCTCCACTCGCTGTTCTCAACCAGCCTGATATTTCTCCACCGTCTTTGGAAATGTTATCTAAAATATTGGCCAACTTTTGAAGATGAAGCTTAAAATCATGTCGGATCTGTCCACAAAGGAATAATATTTTCCCTGGTGGGATGAAGATAAACCATAAGGAAATGGGCAGTTTTTAGTCTCAAACTATTACCAATTTCATTTCCAGTTCAAACCCATGCATTCGTCATTGCTGTCAATTTAAACTGTGTGTGGTGTGTGTGTGTGTGGGCATGTGTACATCAGTGCTGTGTGTATTGCAACACTTTATTGTGCCAACCTTGCAATATAACAGGGAGTCACACATCAAAGAATAAGAATGAACAATGGGGCAAAGTAAAAGTGACTTTTCAAAGCTCACCTTCAGTTGCTGAATGTCAAAGTTCAAATCCAACACGTTCTTCACTGGCTCTCCTTCGTCAATGCTGAGAAGCCAACTGAGAGCCTGGGAACACTCCTCCCCTCGCTGCCGTAACTGATAGGATTATTACAAGAAAAAAGGGACAAAGTCCCTTATTGTAATGGGACTTATTCTAAAGTTACTTTTTCTAAAGTTCAGAGTTAGCATGGGGAAACAGTCAATCTGTTATATACTAGAAATATCTTCATGAAAAGTGGTCGGAATCCACTTGCAGGAGGTGAAGCTCAGCTCCAACATTGCCTCTGTTGGTTTCCTACTGTGTGAACATAAATGACTCACACAGCTTCTCTAGGCATCATTTCATTGTACACTAGCACCCCAAATGACATGGGAGTGAGCTTAAACACCACACCACTTGCAAAGTGCCGAGAGATCGAGAAGCAGTCCGTTTGCTCTGTTTCCTGCAGTTACCTCTCTGCCCTGCAAGACTGATGGCTGTTACCACTAACAGTGTGCTAACAGGTAAAACATAGGAGCACAGCGTGGTCAGCTTCTCTAAGGTCACTGCACTGCCACGGGGTGGAGCCTCCTCATGCCAGACAGACAGTTGGATTCTGGGTACACCTATATGCTGCTTATCTGAAAAGAAGTCTTTTTTATAGTGCCTGTGGGGATGGAAGAATCTGTGTTCTATCATTCTAAGATTAACAAATGATCAATTTTGATGCAAAAGCTTTCTGAATATTCATTTTCATGTCACAGGATTCTTGTTGGCATTTGCTTTTACACTGTACCATCATTTCACGGAGCGGTTTTATCCTTGGATGCTCCCTGCCAGGCCTTCGGGAATGGGAGTAGGAGCCTGGGAGATTCACTTTCTGTGCGTCAGTGTAAATGCACAGAGGTCACCTTTCATCCCTGCACCCCAGCACCTGGCCACACCGCCTCAGGCTGCAGTTGGCCTCATACCTGCCTTTTTCGCTCTTCTGTCTCTAGGTTTCCAACTTTGTAGTAAATCCAAGACCTGTTGCCTGATTCAGCTGCAGGAGCGTCCTGGAAGTAGTAAGTAGCAGCGGCAGATTCATCTCTGTAACAGAAGCAGACCGCGTTGCTCACAGAGGACCTTCCCTCCTTGTGTGACCTCCGTTCCTCTGCTCCAGGCGCGGTTCCAGTTCCTGAAACTTTCCATTTCTCTTATTTCTTTTCTTTCCTCCCCCACCCTACATCTCATTTTAAATTAGAGGATTCCAGAGGAACAGTAGGAAAATAGTTTATTGTCTCTTTCGCATGAAAACTCATCCAGTCTTCAAAATTCTAGGAGGCACTGTCAACCACACTGAAAACCCATTTCTGGAATCACTTCGCCTTGTAGTATTTCCTAATCTTTCTAAAGTGACAAGTTACCTTTCTCACCTTCATTTTCCTCCCCCGTAAACAACAGTAATAACAGCAGTCTTTTGGCACTGTAGTCGAGACGAAATAAATAACGTGGTGTACGAAATATACCAACCTGGGTCCACAACATACAATAAACACTGTTTCTTGAATTTTAACATCCTGATCTAGTTTCCTTTGATTCTCAGCATGGCTGGAAATTCCATCAACAGGTTTTATAAACTTGTACAACAGCTAGAAGCATAATTATGGGCATCCACAGTCTGTGTATTGGACAAGAGAATCCAGCCCCATTACACAACATACCTGTGTTCTACAGCAGCAACTATGAACCCATGAGACGCCAGCTCAATGCCTATAGCAGAATAAATTGACCTTCAAAACAAAAAGAGAGAAGCTTCCATATTACTCGGTATGATGAGAAGTCTGACATTCTAATAATAGCTGTTATTCCCTTCTGGGTGAAAACAATGTATTCAGAGACTGCTAGAAGCTAAAACTGCTTGACCTCCCCAGTGTTACCTGAATGCTCCAAGACCATGAGAAAAGATAATTAGTGGGTATTTTTCACCGGTCTTCAGAGGAGAATTCCACTTTGCAGGAACCTTCACTGAGCCTACACACACCAGAGGAAATCGATCAGCCTTTTCCATGTCTTGAATGTTGCCAGTGAATTTAAAACATAAAACCTTGAACCATCTACACATTTGTTTTCATAGATTAATAGCAAATGCATTCAAGTGTCAGCTACTGGATCATCACCAATCAAAGAGTGAATCATGTGCCCTTCCTCACACCACACAGTCATTAATAACAGTTCTCAATGCAGGCTCTCAACTCAGAGTGGAAGAGTTTCCTGCTTACTGGTATAATCAGCAAGGCGGCTACTTAGGACCATTTTGAGACTTTGTAAGCATGTGAGAGACAGTGTTCTAAAACCAACCTATCCAATAAATTGCAGGAACATTATACTGATAAGAAAAAACTGGGAATCAGAGCCTGCTCTTGCTATGAGTCACCACAATCTGACACAGTGGAGAAAACCCACTGCCCTCACGCTGAGGGTGGTGTTGGTCGCAGCTCTGCCACTTCCTAGCTGTTGACCCTGAGCATGTCACACAAACTCTCTGGGCTCCAGACTCCTTTTCTACAAAAAGGACAAAATGAAAACTATCTCATAGAGTTTTTTAAAAATTCTATTTAACTAGGTTAAATATATATAAATCATCCAGTTGCATCCAGTCAATAGAGAATGCCATCCCCTCTCCCGTTACTTTTCAATTATAATCACAATTTTTATAATTAGGGGTTTGTGTTTTATTACAGTGGTGACTTGGAAATTATTTGGCACTGTAAAGATATGTAGCTAGGGTACTATCACCATTTCTACTTTAAAGCAGTTCCTAAGAGAACACTAAAGAGAAATTAAAAAGAATTCCTAAAACTGCAGGTCATTTTGAGGGAGAATATTGAAGACAGAGTTCACATCCTTCCAGTGGTACTGTTGGTCTCCTGGGTGAGGAAAAGTCAGGAGAGGGAAGAAGACAAATTCATGATGCATGTACTGAAATGGTGCAAGAGATGCTGCTGGCCCGTTGGGGCTGGAGACAGGAAGGTTTGTGTCTCCAAATTTGTGTTAGTGAAAAATGAGCTTTGACTCTTTTGGTTTGTTCTGCAGGGTGAGAATGGCTTCTACTTTTTTTCCTTGTAGTTTCCTGATCCAGAGCATAAGGGTTACTAGTGACATCAGCAAACCCGCTTCTCTCACCAGCACAGTGTTTCTTCCATGGATCCTAAGAAGGAAATCTAAGCAGCCACCACGGAAAGGCACAAGTGTCAGCCTCGTGTCTCGTCCACTCTCAATGAATTCCTGATGGATAGACCGAGAACCCTGGATTTTCTCAGAGATCCCTGGGCTCCTGAGACATGCTGACCATGTCATTTTAGGAGAAATATAAATTGGAGAAAAATCTATTTTGCTCTTAACTCTGAGAGACACTTGCTTCTGGTTTCGCTATTGTAAAACCTACAGAATCTCACCAATAGACCAACAGATATTTTACCGTATAACAGCTTCAAAAGTTTGCCCAGGAAACTAGATGCTCCAAGGGTTTCAGTAAGACCCTGGAAATACTCTTCATTTGGGATCCACAGGGCATCAGGGAAATCATTATCTTGCGATGGATAATACAAGCGCAAAAAGCTGCTCTGTTGACAAAAGAAATGAGTGTTTTCAGTCCTGTTCCCTCTGAAATGCACCCCAACAGTTGTATTGCATATTTTATTAGTTGGGCCCAAATACCTCTACTATTTTAAAAGTGTTCAGAGACTTTTTAAAATGCTGTGATGATCGAATGTAATCAAGAAGCAGAAAAGAACTAGTCTTTGGGTGTGAAGAAAGTATGCCTCAGCCACGAAAGAGAAAAAATAAAAGAGGTTATAGACCAAGCAATCACATGACAGTAAGGAAACGGAAGAAGCAGCAGAAATGGCAGATGGAGTCCTTCCTAGGTGAGAGTAAGGGGAATTTTACCACCAGAGTAAATCAATATTACAGTAGAAAGATAAATTGAAGCAATGAAAGCATTACCTGGTTAGTGTAACCAGACATCAGGTCTGTACAACCCACGGAGTAAGGTCCATTTCCCTTGGGGATTGTTGTGTGTCCAAAGCTGGTAATGAGCAGCTCCGATTGTATTCTTTGGATCCATACTGAAAAACAGGTCAGTGTTGCCGCATTTTTCCCTCTGTGCACCCCAAAGTCATCTTGTTTAGACTTCCAAGGGAGTCAAACCATGGCACCCAGTTTCTGGCTTCTTGCGTTTTTGACCTAATTGAGGACCTACTGTGTGCGGCACACTGAATAGGAGTTTGGGGGAAAAAAGATTGAGGCAGACACAGCCCATTTCCCAGAATGCCTTGCAGAACCACTTTGTAATCCTGAGAGCCTCTTCTTACCTTCTACTGTGGAGTACACTAAAGGTGACTCTCCGAGGCTGTTTTTCCTAAACATGAGCTTTACCTCACATTTCAGATTTCTGCGTACAGCATCTCACTGGGCATTTCTACCCGATGCCTTTCCTCTAGCAGCCACAAAGCCAATGCTACAAAGTGAGACTGATAATCATCGCACCTCCCCCTCACCCTCCCACCACACAGCCTACAACTCCAGAACTCTGTCTCATGCATCTCGAGCTGGATGCTTGGGAATCATCTTTCTCTCTTATCTCTTTTTCATCAATCCTCTATGTTAACTGAATTTTAGTTTCTAACAAGTGTTTGTAACTTTGAATTATCTTGCCACTGTGTCTCTGATTCAGCTCAGCAGACTCATTTGTGCCATCTGTGTCTCTGGACCAGGTGGCTGCTGTCTCTTCTACTCACCTGTGCGCTCAGACCTGGCCCCTTCATATGCCTCCTATACCCTGCTCTTGAAAGGACTTAGAGCACAAATCTCACGGAACCTGAAAATTCTGCAAAGGCTCCCAATTACCACATCTGCTTCAAAGCAGAGAATAACAGGGCCAGCTTGGAAGGGAGCTTGTAGGAGACATTAAGTCTACACACGCCCTCTCAGCAAGTGTGCTGAGTCTAGGTACAAACATGGCTCCTCATCATGGTGTCCACAGAAACATAGAGCTTCTCATAGGTGCCCAAGTAAGTCCCAAGTCCCCATGCCAGAAGACAGACACTGAGTGTCCTGATGCCTGAGGCCCAGATGTCTTCTGTCACCTTTCCGCCTGCATGAGCTCCATCCTTCATGCGGGGCTATTGAGGTCTCTGCACTGCTCTAGTAGCTATCATGGGCAGTGCTTAATGTGTCAGTGGAAAACTCTTATTAGAGATAAATAATAGCTACAAAAAATAGAGAGATGATAGACAAATGAGATGCATAGATGACTGATAGATTCCTGAGATAGATACATAGATAAAGACAAACAGGTAGATAAATATAGATAGACAAATAATGTGATTTGGTATATGCATGATATTCTTCTTGTCCCATGATATTAAAATTGTGCTTTGCAACTGTGTCCCATACCGGGCACTTTCCCCTGGTCAGATACAGATAGAACTGTCCCTGTGTTTCTGATCTAAATGTAGCATCTGTACCTAAATCAGGGTTCAGTATTTCCTGAGACTGCGTTCCCCAGTAGCCAAATCGCTGAGACCCACGCACAGCTTTGTCTAGTCTCTTGTCCAAATTCCATACAAACCTCAGTTTTATTTTATGGTGGTGAGCCCAAATGTCAGTACATCCATACTCTCCTTGACATGCAAGGCATCCCACTGTCCTATTGCACTTGGGGGCAGGACACTGCTGGACACTGTTGTGCATTTTCTACCAATTCGGCCTGTGCAGTCAGACACCAAGAGCTCTCCTGGTACTGCAGTTGCATCCTCAGGGACACAGCTCTCAAAACTGTGGCATCGGAGGAATAAATCTGTCCATCTTCTGCACTGCTTACTCATACATGAATGACTGGCCTGAGGCAGAGGTGTGCACCCAAGAAGCCCTGTGTGATACTCAGTGGGGACTGCAGCCACCCTCACTAGCCCAGCTAAAATCGGGAATGCAACTTCCAGGCACCTCCCCAGCTACAGAACCAGAGAAGGGCCAAGAAATTCTTGTTAATATTTAAGCATGACTGTGCTCAGGCAGCAACCATCTTGCTGCTATGGAACACAGCAGCCCAAAGTTGGTGATGGGTTGGATCTGAGGAGGCAGCGAGGAAAGCAGTGAGCCAGCCTGCGTGATAGCTGAAAGCATGAAGTGACATGAGGGTCAAGCACCAGCACAGGATGTAACATGCAAGAGGTAGCCAGATGGCATCCTTGTCTCCTTCCCCAGAGGAAGTTCCTTCCAGAGCCAAACTAGATCAAAATAGATCTAAACAACAACATCTGTTTCCCTGGAGAACAAGTTCAAAATTCATGGCATTATGTCAGGGATTCGGAATCCTACCTCTTCTGGCAGGTGAACAGTTTGGGACTGTTTAGGATTATGAGACTATGGACCGTGTTCATGGGCAGGTCCTGTCCAAAGTAGAGCAGAGGGGTGACAGCTGCCTTACCATCTGCCATGAGACCCGCTGAGGTGCTGAGCCATAGCTGGACCAAGACACCCACAGACAGCTGAGCCATGGCTGTATCAAAGAGGGGGCCTGCAGGATCATAGGATTCAGGGGATACATTCCCTTCTAGAACCTGCTCAAGTGCCATAGAAAGATATCATGCTTCAGCAGTGGACCTCTCCCCTGATCAGACCTCAATTCCACCAACGTGCTGGGGCCCTTTCCAATAACTTGATAATGCCTTCTGCTTTTCCCAAGCCTGCCATCCCTGATGTGCCTCTGCATCCAGCACTCAGGCCAAGGTGACATCAGGACAGCTGGCCCCTGAGACAGCCTTAGGAAGTGAGGAGCTAACCCAGGCTTCAGGAGGAGTCTACAGGGTCTTGTGGCTTCCCAGGGATAGGAAGACTGCAGAGGAGGGTCAGCGGCCTGCAACCATCAGTCTGGGCCCCAGCTCCTGCTTGCATCACCATCCATCAGAAACCATCTTGAAGAGGAGCTTTGGAACTAACATTGTGCTGTTGATCCTATTATGTATTTTTGGTGATGTTCATTTGTCTAATCCTCCTGAAACTCAGTTTTCAAATGAGGTATGCACACATTAGGAAAATTATGTCGTCTTATATGGTTTCATGCCTTCCCAGCAACTAGCATCTCTCTATTCATAAACTCCACATTCAAAATCTTTTTACTCTGCACAGCTCTGGAGAAGACTACACCATGCCCTGTTACCTCCCTTTAAACCTGGGGTTAGAGGAACCCAAGTACCTTCCATCCTCCTACAACATGGAGGGGCTGCCAATGTGGGAAGTATCTGGGACCCCACAACCAGCTTGTTGGGAGGAACCAAATAGAATGTCAAGACGAAGGACCAAAAGGCAATCTCAGACCTCCAGCCCACATGAACAAGTATGGGAATACAGTCATGGGGGAAAATGCGAGTCACACACCTGAAATCTCTGAGAGATAGCAACTGAAGTAAAGAAACAACTTTACGAGATTGTAAAAGCAGTCAAATCAGAAATGATGTCTCAAGTAAAAGAAGAAATCACAAACACACTGAAAGAATTGCTCAGTATATCTAAAGAAAACATAGACAAAAAAGAGGAGCATAGGAAGGTGATGGAAACCTTGAATAAATATTGAAAGCAATTAAAATGCATGAAAAAGATTCAAGGAGAGATCCAAGAAATTAAAGATTCAATCAAAAGCTGACAAAACCACTTGAAAGAGGATGATGATAGACTTTCAAACCTTGAAGATAATATTGCAGCTAATGATCCTTAAAGGAAAGATCTCTTTAAAAAAATACAGAATCAGGAAATACCAGCTGCAAGATGAGGCAAAGAAGCATAATTTAAGTGTGCTAGCTGTTGGGTAAGAAGTAGAGATTAACACAAATGAAATTAATAGGCTATTTACAGAAGTAATAGAGGAAAAGTTTGGAAACATGGGAAATGGATCTGGCATGCAGTTTGTGAGGCATGTAGAACTCCAACTAGCCATGACAAAAGTAACTCTACACTTAGACATATAATAATCAAGATTCCAGAAATTCAGCACAAGGACAGAACATTAAAAGCTGTTAGGGAAAAGAAACAGATCATCTTAAAGGAAATTCAGTCAGAATCACAGCAGACTTATCAACACAAACCATCAAGTGAAGGAAACTTTGCAGTGAAAGGTTTCAAATGCTGAAAGAAAACATCTTCCAAACCAGATTGATGTATCCTGCAAAATTATCTTTCAGAATTGATGGAAAAATAAGATATTTCCATGATAAAGAGCAAATGTAGGAATTCATGACTACCAAACCAACCCTACAAAGAGTGCTATAGGATATTCTAGAGAGATACCATGGTTCCAGGAACAGCAGCAGAGGGGATCGCCAAATAAGACAGGCAATAACTGAATGAAGTGGGAAAGTGGAGGGCCAACAATAGGAGGATAGCATGGCAGAGACAAACCAATGTATGCTGGTTGTAAACATTAATGTAGATTGCCTCAAGTCAGCAATAAAAAGAATTACAGGGAGAGTAGATCAGAGAGTAGATCAAGAAACAAGATCCATCAGTATACTGTACATAAGAAAGGAAAGGAAATTCATAGACTGAAAATCAAAGGAGAGAAAACAATTGTTCCATGTGACAGGATTCCCGAAAAATAGCAAGAGTAACTTTCCCATCCAGCACAGAATGGATAAAAGATATGCTATCACGTTGTGGAAATCTACCAGCTATAAAGTAGCCTAATCTCAAGGCTCCTGTAGGTAAATGGACACAACTGGAGATTATGTTCATGGATGAAACAGTATGAACTCATATGCATAAATCCTAGCAGAAGACACAGAAGGAGTTAAGGGGATCCAAAAGCAAAATAGTTATTGCAAGCATGATGGGGAGAAAACACCCGGGAGGGGAAGGTGGTAACTACTGATAATTTCTCATTGTCTTGTCTTGATCTCTTGTAATGTTTTCACCATTTTGTGAGGTTAGGCTTTGTTCTGTTAGATTTTACTTTATCTGAGGGTATGGGCAGCCATCTTGAATATAATGGGATAAATTATGGTAATCATGGTTTCCTATTATATTGCTTTGAAGTCTTATAATGCCTTCATTTTTAAATTCATTTTATTGTGTTTCATTTCATTTTATTATGTGTGATGTCTTGAAGAGCTATTTTGAAGAAAACGATTGCTGTTTTCCTATTTCCTCTTTTTGAAGCCCTATCATGCTTTTGTTCTTCTGTTTTAATTTATTCTATCCTATTGTGTTTTATTTGATCTCATTCTGTATAATGGTATGGACAACTTTTTTGAGGAAAATGAGATATTATAGCAGCCATTGTTCATTTCGTGTTATCTGGGTTTGAAACTCTTAATGTTTTCATTCTTTGGAAAAAATTTATACAATTTTGTTATGTTTGATATTATATCCTGTGAAGGTATGTTCAACTATTTTGAAGAAGACAAGAGACATTATGATAGACACTTCTGATAACCTAATATCTTCTTGTGAATTGATGTGTTGTTTGCATTGTTCTGTTCTGATTTGCCTTATTCTCTTTTGTTTTAATTCTCTTAAATTTTTTCCATTTTAAATTTTGTTTTAAAGAGTGTAAAATTAAACATAACAAAACAGAATAAAGAAGATCAGAAGAAAACAATGTATGTGACACAGATTTTTAAAGCAAGACAACAGGAGATCATCATTGGCTATCATATTGTCTCTTGTTTTCTTCTAAATAGTTGTCCATATCTTCACGCACAATGAATTCATACAAAACAAAATAGTATTAAATTGATCAGAACAGGATGATGAAAGTATTATAGGCCATCAAAACCATACAATAGGAAAATCAACAATGGGTGCCACAATGTCTAGTTCTCTTCAATATAACTGTCCATACCTTCATGTATGTTGAAATTAAATAATACAAAACAGACTAAAATCACTCTGAACAAAGAATAATAGCATTGCTGCATTTCATAGCATGATGCTATGGAAATCAGCACTGGATACCATAGTGTCTCTTTTGCTTCAAAGTAGCTGTACATTTCATCATGTATTATACAATTGATTCTCATAAACTATTTAGAAGTTCTACACATATATGAGACTCTACATGTATACTTATCCTTTCTGTATTAGAGGTAAAAAAATAAAGCAAAATCCTAGAAAAACACGAAACAAAAAAGACAAATAAATAACAATAGCAAAGAGCCCAAAACACTGACAATATAGGCTTTCCAAACAAGGTGGTATAGGGTTATTATTTGACATAATGATCTTCAAGAGTTCCTCAGATCACCATACAATAATATGCACAATTGTTCCAATCCTATGAATGTTAACTTTTTGTTCCAAGAATTTATAGAATTTGGAAGACAAAGTAGGTACAAATCTTAAAGACATAGGGGTAGGTAGAGAATTTATGAACAAGAATCAAATCGCACACAGAATACTCCTAGAATCAATAACTGAGATCATGCCCTATTAAAGAGTTTTTGCATATCGAAAGAAATCTCCAGCATAGTGAAAAAAAAAACCCACTAATTGGTAAAAAAATCTTAGTGAACTGTCCCTCAGACAAAGGACTTCTGTCTAGAACATATAAAGAATTTAAAAAAATTTGACTCCCAAAATTCAAAAATCCAATAAAAAAATGCACATCCAAAATGAATTCACAGTTCTCAGATGAAAAAATACAAATGGCAAATAAATTCATGAAAAAATGTTCAGCATCATTGGTCATTAGAGAAATGCAAATTAAAACCAGTGAGATTCCATCTCACTCCAGAAAGAATGGCCAGGATCAAGAAAACTACCAACAACAAATGCTGGAGAGACTATGGGATAAAAGGAACTCTTCCTAATATATTTTTTAAAAAAACTGTTTTACTTCTACTGCTGTATTTTTTAGGTATTCAATAAGAATTTATATAGAATCATCTATTGTTTGAATCTTTCATTTAATAAACTCTCATAACAATAAAAAAACATGTGCGCATCCCTTTGGAGCATTTAGAAAGAGAAGGGTGTTGAGCTGCAACTACATAGAAGAATAAATAAATGTCCCTGTCCTCAAGTGTCTGCCAGTTTGGTAATTTTTAAACACAAAGGGATAGGACACATGTCTTGACATTCACACCCTGCACCAATAACAAGTGCATGGTAAAAATGTCACCTATTTGACAACTTCTCTATCATTGAGTATAATGTATGTCTTCAACCCATGGTTCTCATAAACCTAACTAACCCCCAAATTCACAAACCACCAGATTCCTTGACTACAGGACCTGGTCACAGTCACTTGAACATCCTGGACATCTAAACCTGTTGTTAAAGGCTGAGGATGAATGGACCTTGGAGACATGGATGTACACAGAAATTATGGGCACGTTCAAACTTGGCATTCATTTCCCCGATGATGAAGTAGGGCAAAGTTTATCTCAGTGGCACTATGTTATGCAAAAAATGCTTTGGAAAGCCTTCAGCAGTCCAGCCAGAACAAACAGATCTGGTGACTCAGCCTAGGCACATGCAGAGACCTGTGGCTGTGACAGTGCAACAGCCTCGCAACCCAGCTTCCTGCTCTCCAGAGGAGCCAGGCAGAGGACCACACTCACAAAGCCTGGGATGAGCAGGGCGTCACGAAGCTACAGTGCAAGCTCTTTGCAATAGGATCTTTTGGTGACAGAGAGGTGACTAGAGACATCCTTCTCTGGCTACTCCTCCTGCCTTGTTGAAGTCCTCTCTTTTTTTGTCTCCTCCTTATGCCAAAGTAAGAGAGCCAGTGACCTTGTCTCTTTTACACAGAACTCCTAGGGTTCAGTCGTTCCTACTGTTTAGGCAGAAAAGGTCATATCTTTTTAGATCCCAATCATGGACTCCTCACTCCGTGCTCCACAAAAACCAGTACTAAGCCTGTGTTTCAAGACCCTTACCTCTTGCCTCACCTCAGCTCTGTGCTGTGCTAGTGACACTGAAGAACACAGCTATACAGAGGACAAAATGGATCCATCTCCCCACTTCAAGACAACCAAAGGTGCCATCACCATTTATTAATAGGACTTGCTTAGAGATGACCAAACATGCAGCATTGCTGAGGTTTCCCAGAGTTGGTGACAGGTCCAGCCCTGGAGTTAGGGGTCTCTTACCTGATGATTGGATATAAGTGACAGGATCTAGGTCTCGCCAGTCAAAAGGGTGGACCAGTGCCAGGAATCCAGAGAGGCAGAAGAGCGTGTGCAGTTTTGGTGGGGCCATCCTGGGTTCAGTTGAGCCGTCTGCACAGCAGGCAATTAGAAGAAAAAAGAGCATGGAGAGAAGACTTACATATGCTGAGAAAGCAGGATACAGAGAGTGGCATTAGAGGGGAAAACAAAATGTGCATTTTCTGAGTGGGGTTTAGGTAGAGACTAGAGGGGCAAAGCCTTTGATGCTATTGGATTACAGGACAGAGTGATTATACCAGCTTTTTCATCACTAATTGTCTAACGGGGTGGCAGTGTATCTTATTTATAAAGCATAGCATCAAAACACAATAACTGTAATCACCGCTTCTGACTCTTTACATCATATCTCCTGGTGCCTCTCTATGGTGCACATGGTAACCATGGCTTTTGGGCAATGCTTCTGTTCTCATTACACAGTAATTAAAGTGCTGCTGCTGTGGCTATATTTGGGGTGACTGTTTATTTATTTAGACAATCTCCATCATCCTACCCCACTGTTAGCATCCTAAAGGCAGAAGTCAGGTTGCTCTTGACTCTAGTGTGGAAGAGAAGTCTCAGCAGGTGGCTGGTGCTGAATAAGTGTTTCCCATGACAATCAGACTGCACACCTACATCTTATTAGCAAAAGCTCAATTGAATTTGTACATGTCTTTTCTGCTTTAGAATGTGCCCTTTTGATTTTAGGGAGTGATGGAAATAATCTAAGCCACCCCCTTTTGATTTTGGGGAGTGATGTATACAACCCAAGCCACCCCCATCGCTCATCTGAATTTTGGCAATACCTCTAAGTGGCCTCCCCCATCCATCCCAGGCATCATAGCCACCACAGGCATGTCACTCCTCTGTCAGATCTCATGTGACTTCAGATGTGATAGACAAAGCTGTCATCAGTGAGTGCACCACAGACACTGAAGGACTGCATCATGGCCTGGACCATCCCTGCTGCCTTGCCTCTCACAAGCACACCAAGAATCCTGTGGCCCCTTGCACAGGGCCATGTTCCCTCTCACAGAAGGCTCTTGGCCTGAACAAAGACATGTTTTCTTTGCTGCTGCCTATCAGTCCTTGAGCCCCCTTCACATTGTCCAGGGTGGTACAGCTGGGTAGATTTAGAGGGTTTCATGAAGGGTTCCACGTCCTCCTAGGCAACAGAGTAAGCAGTTCCACAGCGCTCTCAGAGCACTTCCTGTTCAAAGCCCTTCTGTCCTCCACAGGCTGTCCTTATCCTGGTACTACCAGGGCACACCACAACCCCGCCAACTCCATGACTTGTCAACCTTGTAAATGTTCCCCAGACTCAGCTTCTTACCTGGATATTCAAGGTGACAGATCCGTAATTTAAACAAGCTGCCAAGAGACACTTAGGTGTTACTGACCCAGTGATGGTCTGTTTGTGGCTCTGTAAGCTCATGTGTTGAAAGCATAGGCCCTGTGCTGGTGACTTTTGGAGGTGGAGCCCGTGGAAGGTGATTAGGTCAGAAGGGCAGAGTCCCCCGGAATGGGATTAGTGCCACCTGCCACCCTGGGCCAAGACAAAATGGCAAAATTCCTCCGGAGAAAGATGTAAGTAAACAGAGAGAGCAATGTCCAGTAAACCGAACCCCAGAGCACCAAACTTTCACACCAAAGTCAGTAAGGCAAGCAGGCTCGAATGTGTTCTGAAGGGCAGCATGGCAAGCCTGAATCTGTCTGTACCCTTACCTCATCTTTCAGTTAAATGTCTAGTGTTATCGTAAAAATGTCTTATGTACAGGGAAATAAAACTTAGTGTATATGGCAGAGGGTTTATTTAACTCCATAAGAGCCAACATACACATGTACATATGCCACAACTAAAACCCCTCAAATGTCAAACAATCAGGACACTTCATCAAAGGGACACCTCCAAACACCACCACCATGGGGCTTTTGTGTCTGTAAAATAAATTTTTATGGTTCAGGAAACTGCTTATGATGCAATTTTAATTAAAAAGTACAAAATTGTCCAGCAAAAATTCACACTTAAAAGCTAGTTAATATAAAATAGCCTTATGGGTGTTATTTTCCAGTATGTCTAAAATGTTTTATGACAAAAGATCCTACTTCACTAGTAAGAAATAATTTAAAAGTGATATTTCAAAAGAGTGTGTTGATCATGAGGAATATTATGTTTAAAATAAAGTAAAATGTCATATGGAGGATTAAGAGAATTGTCATCATTTTAGATAAGATATATATGAAATAGAAATGAAAGACAGGGATAGCAGGAGAGACAAAATTAATATTTAATATTTAAATAAATATTAAATATTTAAATAAATATTATTAAAAATTTACAAGATTTATCTTTGGAGATTTTACATAGGAACTAAAGTAACGTTTTTCTGTATGTAGTTTTTTGAGACAGGGTCTCACTATTTAGTTCAGCCTGGGCTTGAGCTCACTTTGTAGCTTAGGCTGGTCTCAAACTCGTAACAATCCTCCTGCCTCAGCCTGAGTACTGGGATTACCGGTGTGAGCCACCATGCCAGGCTAGCTAAAGGTAAATTTTAATTCTTCTTTCTACTTTCCAGTGCTTCACAACAATATTTTTGGTTATGTGGCAAAAAGGAGTTAAGATTATATATGGAATTAGAGCTGCCAATCAAGTACCTTAGAATAGGGAGATGATCATGGATCATCTGGTGACCCAGTATAGCCCAAGGTGGCGGAAGAAGGGTCAGCTGCAGAGATCTGACTGATGTCATGTGACAGCCAATCAGCCGTGGTTGGCCTTGAAGATGAAGGAAGGTATATGAGTTAGAAACTGTGGAACTTCTAGAATCTGGAGAAGGACAGGAGTCTGAGGTTCCCTGCAGGACCCAAGAAGAGCTTTGCCTTGCCAATGCCTTCTTTTTAACCCAGTGAGTTCATATCAGACACCTGACCCAGAGATTACAGCATAATCAACTGTGTTGCTCCAATCCATCAAGCTTATGATAGCAATAATAATAGAACTAATATGGAACATATGGAGTTAGAGAAAGACCTAAGAGCAAATCATCGGGCACCTTGCTTTCAACTAAATTCTAAGAAAGTGGTTGATGGATCAGTATCTCAAATTGATCGTTTATCAGACTGAATGATAGAGGAAGGAGATAACATCTCCTGCTTTGAATGTTTCATAGTAACAAGCATGCAGGAAAAAAAGCCAGCATATCATCTGATCTCTGAGCTCTCCACTGTGGCATTGTTGGCCCTCAAAATATTTGGTCATGTCTGGAGATGCTTCTGGCTGCCACAACTAGGAGGAGACCGCTATTGGCTGGGGACAGGCAGAGGCCAGGGATGCTGCTAACTATGTACAGGGCCCCCCTAATACAAAAAATCACCCCCGCAACATAAAATCACCCCAATTTGTCCATCTGAGGTTACGCAGCCCTGGATTACGAGAAGGCAAGAATAAGAACCACATCCTTGTTTAATAAAAAAGAAATATTCATTCCATTCTGAACCATGTAACAAGGAGGCGATATCTGGGCAACAAAGCAGGAGCATTTTGATAATTAGATCAGTTATAATGTCCACCCTGCTCATGGGTTCCCTTGAAGAATTATTGCAAAAACTGTGGGATTTATAGGTGGGGCTGGACTCTGAGGTCCCCATCATTATCAAAATTATATGACTATTTTTAAAAGCACCAACAAAAAATTTCCTACTTCATGCTTGCTAATATTGAATCTAGGAAAGGGAAGCTAATACTGTACGAACATTGTTTTTATGTGTACCATGTTAGCCGACAGCGTCAAGATCATCTCAAATGTGCAAACTCAGCTGACTTCTGTACAAGTGTCTCAGCAGCTCCTATTGTGGGTGCAGTTGACAGGACTCTTGTGAAATCAAATCTCACAACCTCAGAAAAGGCAGGATAGAAAAAGCAAAACAAGAAGCAAGTTCCCTATTGTGGAGGTACTTTAACTATATGTTCAGTTATAAGCATTAACTGCAAGTAAAATAAAAATTAGCTGATTCTACCTGTATTTTGAAAAAGAAACTCACCTGCACCCCATGTGCAAATGTCTGGATCTTTGTGCCCTCCCAGCTAATGGTCATGACACACACTAAGATTTCTGGGCAGTGTCTTCTAGCCTGGCGGTTCATTTGGACTCTGTGGCTTGCCAGGACAGGCCTATCCGTTGTGGCAACTGTGTTCACCGAATCTGAAAATTGATGCACAATCCCTTTCTATTCACAAGGGATACTTTCCAAAGCTCCAGCTGAAACTGAGTGCATAGAACGCTCTGGGTCCTTTGCTCTCTGTCCCGTGCTTCCCATACAGGGCCGGGTCCACCTGACTTACACATTTTATGCTTAGCACATCCCACATGTCACAGTTCTTGGGGCCATCACTGGGTGAAATCAGGGTCACCTGAACAGAGGTGCTGAAATAACTACTCACCCTATCACCAAAGCAGCCGCCCAGTGACAGTGGGTGAGTAGCATGCATAGTGCTTCTCATAGTGCTGGATGGAGACAGGATAGAGCAGGACGGCTTGTGAGTCCATCATGCTACTGGGAACAGTGTGCAATTTAAAATGCATGAGTTATTTATGTTTGGAATTTTCATTTACTATTTCCTGACTACAGTTGGACAGGGGTGATTTAAGCCACAGATGAAGAGGGGCTACTCTAACAGGGGCTGGAGAGGGAAAGCAGCTCGAGGGGTCTGTAACAGCCAGCTAGCACCTCCAGATGCAGCTGTGAGCATTGTGCAAGAGAGGCTGGATGTGAGGTGCTCACCCTTGGACCCGCCCCCGTGTGTAACTCCAGATGAATGGGACAAGGAAGAAGAGTAAGTGGATGTTTGCACAGTGATCAATGATAATGACATCTTACACTGTGCCACCAGCACATTAAGCATCTTACACACATGAAAGCATTTTGCCCTCAGAACTCAGAGTTCAGATGAGAAAGCCGGAAGAAGCAGGTTAAATATGCCAACGGCCACAGGGACAGTTAGAAGCCAGACTGGGAGCTGAATGTGAGTGCTGTCTCTAAAGTAAGGACAGTGACCTCCGGGCTATGGATGTTATGGGTTGAGGGCTCATGGCCATGTGGGTCATGGGCCTGTGGGGCTTCCAGAATGTTAACAGATGAAGGCTCCCATATGGGGACATCCGGCCAACAACAGCCAGGATGGTAGGCAATGGAGACAGTGGGTCACAGGACATGCTGGTGGACCAGAAGGGCATGTGACAGTCAGCATTCTGCACAGAAGGTCTTGGATGTGCCCTGTATGCACCCAGATTATGAAGCTCTGCTGATGGGAGCTTTTCTAGCATTGACTTGGTCAGAAGAGCAAAGCAGGTTGTGAGGCTGACCGTGGGGTCCTGGGCAGTCAGAGATTCCTGCACCGCAGGATCATGGACATGGAAAGAGCAGGCTGGGCTGGACAGCTCTAACCTGAGGTCCTAAAGCGAAGGCCTTTGCACCCAGGTACCTCAAGAGGGTCCCATGTGAGGATTGGTGGGGACTCTGGCCCAGAGACCACCCAGGAGGGGCAGCTGCCACTCTCCTCCAGCAACTGCTCCATGCTGGAATGAGGGCTCCATGCTACTGGATATTCTGAGGGTTTTCAAAGGCTGGAAGACCACATTTGTATGGGACACTCGCTGATCTTTAAAGGATAACAACTGAGTCAGCCTTTGAAGGTATCAGATGAGTCAAAAGAAATAAAAATAGGGACTTTAGGAAAAACTATACCTCTCCCTTACAGAGGTCCCAGCCAGCCCAAACCCAAGGAACTACTATGGCACAGAGAGCAAGAGACCTTACAGGTCCCAGAGTCGCTGTCACATTTGTCAGCATTGACCTCCAAACTTGTCGCTGCTCCCATAAATAATTAAGGAAATCTGGTACACAAGTGTATGTCAGAGCCTATCCAGTCATCAGGAGCTGAAACTTCACCACACCCACGGCTGAGGAAGGGCTTGCTGCTTCTACCAGAGTTATCGCGCTCTTGTGAGCACAAGTCAAAGTGAGTCAGGAAGGAGATAGGTTCGCCTCACGTGACAGTGAAAATGTGACCTCTGCCTTAGCTGGTAAATGGCCTCACAGCTCTTCCTTGACTCCAACACTTGGTCGGTGACTGAGGGAGATAGGGCACGAATTTCTCAGAGCAAGAAAATGCTTCTCTAAGGGAAATGATCCTGTTCAACTCCGGCCTCAGGCCAGCACTGGAAACTTTCTTTAACTCCCCATCTCTGCACTGAGCTTACCTGTATCTAAGACCAAGTCAAATCTGTCCAAGATACAAGAAGTTTTGATTGTTTTCCTTACTGCAAATATTCTAGTTTTCCCTAAGCACATTCCCCTTTCCAAATTAAGACATGCACTATTTTAGCATCTATGTAAGGTCATTCCATGATGGGTTTTAAGGGTACATTTTAGTTAACAGTTTCCAGTGTACAGGACAGAGCAGAATTTATATATATGATGAACAGAGAACAACCAAATAAATGATGTTTATTTGAATGAAGTTTAAAAGGAAGAATAAAAATTCAAAGAAACATGGAAGCAGTAACTGAGAACAGTAATGAAGCCTTCTGTTATATAAAGAGCATATCAATTAGCTTCTTTGCTTTTATGGGATAAGAGTGCCCCATGCAGTAATGTCCACCCCAGCTTGCAGCTCGGAAATCTGACAGAGAAAATCTCACTGTGTCCTCCTGACACCCCCATCTATTGCTGCCACCTGCACAAGGTTGACTTCAATAAACCTGGAACTGGCCCGCTTCATCCCCTTCCTCCAAATCTGTTCTCCACACTGTGCCCATGGTAACATTTAAACAAAAACCTGCATATGTGACGTCATCCCTCTGCACAGACTCTCTTTTGGCTTCTCACTGGTCTGATTGTGAAATAGCATGCAATCTTTGCAAGCCTTCACCTTGGCCCAGAGACTGTGCTGCCCAGTTCTGTAGCTCCTTGTGCCTCTGCTGGCTTCTAACTGTGCCTTGTGCCCCTCCTGTTCCCAGTGCTGTGGGGCCATCTCTCAGAGAAGTCTCTCTTTTAAAGCAAATCCCAGATGTCAGATCACTCTCATCTACACACACAAACACACACACACACACACACACACACACACACACACACCAACAGCATTGTGTCTCTGCACTTGGCTTTCCCTCAAAGCACTCCTCATGTCCTGAACTTAGCTTGTTCACCCCTCGATGATGGAGCATGGACTTCATGACAGTAGGGAACAAGTCTGTCTCACAGCTCTGGGCTCAGTGCCTGGCACAGAATAGCTTGCTCAGCAAACAATTTTGATGCTGAGGATTTTTTTGCACCCAGCTTCCAGCAGGAACCAAGCAGGTCGCCTGACTCAGAGAGTGAGCTTGTAGGGAATGCTTTCTTGTCCTCAACTCCTATGTGTGCTTTGAGACAATGATGAGCATGCATTTATCAGGCCTTATCTTTATGAGCTATGGGTCTCTCCTATAACAGGGATCCAGGTACCTGTGACAGTAGATCTCAGATGGTGGATTCACAGAGAAAGGAGGGGACATGCTGTCCATGACCATGAGCCACACAGCCTCACTGGATTCTGGAACACGGCCACTTGAGGGCTTCTATTCTGGGTCAGTGTCTGTCCCCTGGATACCTTGCCCTTTGGCTTTGCTTGTGTGGAAATGTCTCCTCTAGGGTCAGTCAAGGTCACAATCATGAACCACAAAAACAACCAGGCTTCTAATAAAACAGAGTACAAGTGACTGCATGATCACCTTCCTTCCCAAGAAATCTCTCCTTTTGAGGTGTCAAGGAGGAACCCAGATCCTCAAAGAGAGCTTCTCTGGCCTTCTTAGGGATTAGAGACCTAGATGGCCTTTCTGCTCTAGGCCGAGGGATTTCCTAAGAGATTAGAAAATCATAATTGTCTGCAAAAACGACTGTCACCTCAGATGTCCTCATGACAAAGCACAGGGATGCAGAGTTACACAGAGAGGAAGCAAGGAGTGGCCGCCAATCCTGGGGGCCCTGTTGGAAAGACCCAGGCACCAGGCAAGACCTGCAAGGGCACTCCTGGTGTAGGGGGCACTTACCCCTGGGGGATCAGGCTGATACTGGCTCCTGAGATGGGGGTGAGCCCAAGATTTGGCTCCAGTTTCCCAGACTGCAGCTCATGAAGAGTGCCCCAGCTTGGCATTCCCATTTGGGTCAGAAGGAATCGGGGCCATGCTGATTTGCTCAAATCTAAGCTCTCTTCCTTTCTGGCACCTCTGTGGCCTCCCGAGAATCTCAGGGCAGAAGGACACTCAAAGGAGAAGCTCCAGGAGGTCAGGAGCAGGACAACTGTCCTGCTTCCTGCCTTGCTGAGTGTTTGAAAACAGGAACTCCCTTGAGTCTGGGTAGAGCGAGCCTACTCCTGCGCTCTTATCTCCCTTCCAAAACACTAGAGGCGAGAAGGATGGCTGTGATTTTGTAATTCTGTTTCTACAGATGCTTGCGAGGAGTGGATTCCAGAAGAAGCAACCTTCCCCAAAAGTGTGGGCACATGCATGTGTATGCATGCACGTGCATGTGTGTAACAGACCTGTAGATAAGGCAGTTCCCGTGTCCTAGCTCGCCTGCCTGACTCAGAATCTTAGTCCTGAATTCTTGAGATCCTACCTTGGAGAGAGGTCCAGGAGTCCTTGCCCTTTCTGGTTCTAGTCTAATTTCTCAGGGCACTATGGGCAGCAGCCAACCACATCCACACCTCAGCTGTCACCCCTCAGTACCTCAAAGCCCCAGGCTCCCTTCTCACCAAACCCTTCCTCACCTGGGCACACGCCTAGCTCCTGGATGGCTCCCTGTGGTCCAAGCACGCAGCAGCCTCAGCCGAGCTGGTGCAGAGGGGGCGGAGGCAGGAGGAGCCAGTGGGTGTGCCTGTGCTCTCTGCCTGTCCCCTGTGTCATCCCCTGTGCCTGTGCCACTGTCATATGATGATGTTAACTCTTTCAGGAAGATGCTTAGAAGGGAAATAGCTGGGTAGAATGCAATTTCTCCTTTCAGTTCTTTGAGGATGCTCCATTCTGATTTCTATAATGATTGTGCTATACTTCCAATGACAGTGAAGAAGGATTCCTTCTCCCTACAGCCTCACCAGCACTTGGTATTATCTGATTTTTCAAAGTTAGCCATTTTTTCTGGGGTAAGATGTAATCTCAGGACTTTAATTTAGAGTTCTCTAATTGCCAGCTGAGGATGTAGAATTGGATAACAATGAGGAAATGAAAACTACCTGAAAATAGGGGTCTAGGTCAAAGCAATGGGCAAGTTGCCTGTGCACTTTTCAGAGAAACAAGGACGGGGGAATTTCTCAAGAGTCCAGTGTGTGGTGCAGATTTCAACTGCATTAAAAAAGAGATGAGCACAGGGAAGTAGTCTGTGCAGTCCACTGGAGCTTCTTCACATAGAGAAGATATAGGTTGAAGGACAAAATAAAAGATCATGGGAAACAGAGAGACAGACCTTTTGCAAAAGGGAAGGAGATCAAGAGATGGAGGAAGAGGGAATGGAGGGAAGGAGAAGAGAAGGAAAAACAGAATGAAGATGTCTTATGCACATGGACAAACTCCCCATGAGGACTGTAATCCTTAGGTACTACAAACATGGACTTATAACAATCAAAATATAAAGCCAACGTGTGTTCTCTTCAAGGCACACAGGCCCCTTCCTTTGGGTTCAGGCTGCCCTACAGGGAACTCTAAGCACAGCAAAGCCTGACTTTCACATTGAAAAGCTTCAAACCCTCTGTATCACAGCAGATCAGTACATCAGTCACCTAGGGGGGGTCTTGCTAAAAGTTGGCAAAGCAAGGTTTATTAGCCCTAAATCTCCCCAGACTATCCGAAGAATAAGGATGCCAGGAGAACAGGCTCACCAGGAGATTCAGCTGTACCCAGGCTCTCTGTTCCCTAAACTCAAGACTGCCTGGATCCCAGCAGAGCCTTGAAAGGCAATCATGACAGGGCCCTGGTTCTGTTCAAGCCATCAGGGTTCTTCCAGAGCTCTGAAACCAGGATTGAGATATGATCCATCTGACCCTAGCATCCACAGAACCCCACAAAACTCATTGTCCTCCTCCTGCTCCTCCAGCTGCCCCTCTTCTTCTCAGACTGAAGTGTTTGCTGTGTTTCTCCTGCTTCCTTTTATCAGGGTGCAGCTTGGCTTTTCAGACCTGTGCCCTCCTTTGTTTTCTTTCTTTCTTTCCAGGTGAAACTTTTCCCCATAAATTCCTGATGATGGCCTGCGATCTAATCTTCATTATCACTGATGCAAGGAGACCATGCTAGACAGTGACACCTCCATGCTGGCCCGAGTTCGTTGTGGCAAACAAGAGCATTTCTGAGTTTGGGAAGATGACACTGGAGGGGACATTTCTCCATTCAGTGGACTTGGCCTTACTTGGGGGTTAACTGAAACTCTCCTTCATGTTCCAATGTTTCCTCCTCAATCTGCTTCCTAATCACTTTTAACCATACACATGTAAAGCTTTAGTTAGAAACTCAGGGAAAACAGTTTGAAATTTATAGGTGGTACTATTAAAATTATGTATTTTTAAAGCGGTGGATTATCTTTTTGAAAGACACTGTAACTAGAAAGAAAACTTTCTGTATTTTCTTTTTACTCTAAGGATTCCAGCATAGGAAGGCATGGGTTCTAGCTCATTTGTATCTCTAATTAGTGATGTGATCTTAGGAGGTTCACTGTCATCTTGATTTTCAACTTCCTCATCTAAGAGATAATTAAAACAACCCAGAACTACTTTGTCAGAGGATATGCAAATAATTCTTGTGCAGTGCTGAAGGCAAGACCTAGTGCATGAGAAATATTTGTCCAATATGCAGTATCTCTAGTCAATAGTGTTTAAATAAATCTACATTGGTCTGGTGGCAATTTCCCCAAATTTCCTGTCTAATTCCCTGGGTCAAAAATATTCATAAGTACCCTAGGTCCTACCAAAGAGAAAGTGGAGCATTCCTACTCAGGCTGATCTCAAATTTTGGTGAAAATTTGGAGATTTTGCACTTGATACCAGTCCTGAAAATAAGTGTGAACTATTGTATTCACTTCTTTCACTGCTAGCCACATATTATCTCCTTTTTTCCTCTGATTTTTTGGGGGGTCCCAGAGAGGTGGGCATTCATTAGGCTGCTGCTCTAGCATGATGCCCAGAGTAGGCTGTCCAGGCTGGGCAAAATATAGGACGCTCAGTTAGTTTTGGATTTTTCATGAGCAAAGACCAGCTTAGCAGGTGTGATGTAAAATTTGGGACATACGTTTGAAAATTTGTTTGTTGTTTATCTGAAATTTATATTTAACTGGCTAGTTTGTTTCTTAACTGGAAATTCTAAGAAGTAGACTTAACAAAGAGTATTCTTCCCACTCCAAAAGGAGCAACTAACACAGAGAGACATGACAAAGTGAGTCTCAAGTGGGTTATGTCTCTGTTTTATGTAGTAAGAGGAAAAGAAAATAATGGATTTGTGTTCATAAGTTGATTCATTGTTGAGCTAAATCTTCCCTCTTCTTTCCTTTTCCCACTAACATATCAATGCTTCTTTACACTTCTATGGAAGTGAAGATGATTATTTAGCTTCAACCAATATCTTGAATGTAGTTATAATAATGTGTTTAATGAGTTTTAATTCAGCAAGTGTTGAATGGGGGCTGCATGTCAGGAACCATTGCACAGAGGAGAAAAACACAGCCCATCGCCTGGCATATAAAAAAATAGCAACATACAGTGCCTCCTTGTGCAAGGAAATGTAGAAGACTCTGTGAGTGTGGTGATTCCAGGAGATCATGTTCCTGGGAATGGTGTGGGAGACTAAGATGCCCTCACCCATGAGATCTAAGAAAATCTGCTCCAAGGAGAGGAGCAGATGGCAGCACTAGAAGCAAGTGTGCATAGGCCTAAGAAGTAGCCTGTGTTGACATCCATTGCTGTGACCAAATCTAAAGGAAATCAGCTAAGAAGAGGAAAGTTTATTTCCTCCTGGTTTCATTGCTTTCAGCCCATGGTGAGCTGGCTCCATTGCCCAGGCCCACGGGGAGGCGGACATCATGACAGAGGATGTGGTGTAAGAAGCTGCTCACCTCATGGCAGCCAGGAAGTAGTAACAATCAGGAAGCAGATAAAAAGGGAGGAGATGGAGAAGTCAGGGTGGGCACTGTAATGCTACTTGGAAGGGTAAAAATAAACAATTTAAATTCATTTGACTCATAGTTCTGGAGGCTAGAAGTCCAAAGGCATGACACTGACTTCTGGCAGGAGTGAGTGATGGAAGAAGGGCAGAAAGTGTTGGTGGAGCAGACATAGAAAGTGAGGATGAGCTCTTCTCTTTTATCAGTGATAACAGCATCAATCCATTCATGCAAGTGGATCTGTCCTGGTCAAGTAAGGTTTAAAAGCTTCACCTTTAATGTTCAAGTGCAATTGCATTCCAACATGAATCCGGGAGGAGGCTTCAAGACACAGCATGTTGGGAGCTTGACATCCGGTGTGGTAGGAGGCTTTCCACTGCACCATTGATTGAATACTGAAAAACAGGACAGCCTGCTGTCTCAGCTAGTTAGTACACCTCAGGGTGGAGCCAGCCCATGGGAAGTGAATTGCGCAAGCCTGAAGGTCAATATGGAGACCTGGAAAGGAGCTGCTTATATTGGAGGTGAAAAAATAAATTAGTACATGAGATAAGCTACAAGAGCTTGTGGAAAGCAAGCATGGATCCAGAAGAGAGAGCCCAAAATAAGTACCAGGTTCAGGGAAAGTAGGAGAAGGAAGAGATAGTGAGGGAAATGGTCCAAGATGAGTCAAAGCAAGGATGGAAAGTGGAAGGGAGAAGCTTGCAGAGACAAGAGGAAAGAACTTTCAGGGCAACTGTGATCGTCCTACTTAGTAAACAGTGGGCTGGAACAGAAGACAGTGCTTTGTAGGGCTTAGTGAGCAGGAGAGTCCTGGTGGCTTTTAGGACTGGTGGGCTAAGCCACAGGCTGATAGGAAGGCAGGAAAGCGGAAGAGCTCAGGATGCAAATGCAGTAATGCTTCCAAGGTATTTTCTGGAGAAAAGAAGAAATGAGGTGTGGTTATATATCTTGTATGAGAAAAAGGAGAGTAAAAACTGGGAATATTCCTGAGGATGTGGGAAGCTTTCTGATAGTTGGGATGCAGTCACTAGTCGTCAAATCCCACAAGTGCTGATGTACTGTCTTGGGGACATCTTCCAGTCCAGGAACAAGACCAAGGAAGAGAGTTACCTGGGCTTAGAAACCGGGAGAGCATACTGACTAAAGGTGAAGCAAAGGAAGGAACTGATGTTGATTTAAAAAAAC